TTGAAATTATAAAGATTTTAATAATCTAGGATTTATTATATTATTTTAATAGATTCTTATATTATAACCTATTTTTTTATATTTATTATAATATTAATTAGAAAATACTTCTTTATTAGAATTCCTCCCTTTTTGATATTTATTATATCAAATCTAAATATCAATTTTTTATTAAAATAATATATTAAAAATCTCTTGTTTAATAAATACTCCTCTTTAATATAATTAGATTTTTTTTATATATCAATATTTATTTAATATCTCATTTGTTATTCAATTCAAAATATATGAATCTTTATATTTAAAAATATATTCTTATAAACTAATCTTTTTATATTTTTAATGAAAACTAATATAATTTCAAATATAAGTATAAAGAAACTTAATTAATAACAAGTTATTCAAGATTTGATTAATATTAATTAAAAAAAAGCTTTAATTAGATTATAAAAAATTTAAAAGATTTATTGATTTAAATTGAAAAAGAGGGGGATAGATATATAAATTCAAATATCTAATTTCGAGAATATAGTTTTAGAATTAAATAGAATTAAATCTATTTCTCAAAATTCTAATTTTATATTCTAAAAAATAATTGATTCTTTATATATAATCTTAAAACTTATTAAGAATTCAATCTTTAAAATATAATTAATATATACCTTAATAAATCCATTAATTTGATTATTATATAAATATTTCAGATTACTAAAATAATTTATATCAAATAATTAAATCAAATAATTTGAATATAATAATAAATTTAAATATATAATATTGTTTTTTTTTTGCAATATATTTAAAAAGCTTTTGATTTATAGCTTTTATATCTATTTAATACTAATATTCAATATCTATTCTTTCTTCAATTCTTAATATATTTATCAAAGTATTTCAATTATTATAAATCTGTTTTATTATTTATTTATTTATTAAATATAGATTTAATAATTTAATTTATAGGAAAATCGGTTTTGATATATTAATTGAAAAGATAAATCTATCCTTGAATTATTAAAAATAAAAGTATAATTTCATTTTTTCTATTATCATATATAATTATTATAGCTTATTCTTTATTATCTAATTGTATTATTTTACTTCTATTATTTTATTTAATATTAATTATTATTATTCCAAAATATATTATATTTATTATAAAGCTCATTTTATCGAAATTATAAAAATTACCATCCAAAATATTATATTTCATTTATATATTTATAATTAATTGAAATCATTTTTTAATAAATTTAGAATTTTTATAAAAAACCCTTTGAAAATTATAAATATAATTAAAATATATTTTTAATTCGATTTGATATTTTACAAATCAATATATTCAGAGCTTTTCAATACAATTTATATTCCTTAATTCAAAAATATAATTTATTATATCTTTTATATTTCTTAATTTAAATAAAAATCCTTTTATATCTATATCAATTATATATTTAGAAATAATATTCTTCTCTAATTCTAAAAGATTATTAGATTTAGATCAATATTTGAAATAAAGAATAAAACTATTGATTTTATACTATAATATTATATTCAGAATATTATATATCTTTATAGCTTTTTGAATACTTATTTTTTTGTTTTTTTAAATAGTTTTAATAGTAAGGAATATACAAGCTTCTTAATTATTCAAATTTATTATAAATTGTTGATAAAACATATATTGAAAAAGAAAAGAATAAATTGAAATGAAAATAACTCACTCATTGATATAACCCACTCACGGATAAAACACGTTATATGTTCTATATAATTAATTCGACGATAGAGAGGATATTAAAAAACATATAATAAATAAATAAAAATATATTATAATTTTTATATATTACTTATATATGCGTAACTTACTATTTACTTCTAATAAATATATATATAGTATATAACGTGGTTTATCATTGAGTGGGTTATATTAATAAATAGATTACTTTCATTATAATTTATTTTTTCAAATCTATATTATTCAATAATAATTAAATTAATTAATTAGAACTATTTAGAATCTCATAATTTAGAATCTATTATATTATTTTAATAGATTCTTATATTATAATCTATTTTTCTATATTTATTATAATTCTAAATAGAAAATATTTTCTTATTAAATTTGTTCTTTTTTTAATATTTATTATATTAAATTTGAATATCAATTTTTTATTAAAATAATATATTAAAAATCTTTTAATTAATAAATATTCCTTTTTGATATAATTAGATTTTTTTGTATATTAATATTTACTTACTGTTTTATTTGGTTTTCAAAATGAATGAATCTTTATATTCAAAAATATTTTTTTATAACCTAATCTTTTTATATTTTTAATTAAAGTTAATATAATTTCAAATATAGATATAAAGAAATTTAATTAATAATAAGTTATTTGAGATTTAATTAATATTAATTAAAAAAGAATTTCAATTGAGATATAAAAAATTTAAGAAATTTATTAATTTAAATTGAAAGAGAAAGGAGTAAATATGTAAATTCGAATATCTAATTTTGAGAATATAATTTTAGAATTAAATAATATTAAATTCATTTTTTAAAATCTTGATTTTATATTTTGAAAAATAATTGATTTTTTATATACAATTTTAAAAGCTATAAGGAATTTAATTTTCGAAATATAATTAATATATATTCTAATAAATTTATTAATTTAATTATTATATCAATATTTTAAATTGCTAAAACAATTAATATCAAATAATTAAATTAAATAATTTAAATATAATAATAAATATAAATATATAATATTATTTCTTTTAATAATATATTTGAAAAACTATTGATTTATAGTTTTTGTATTTATTTAGTATTAATATTTGATATTTACTCTTTTTTTTGATTTTTAATACATTTATTAAAATATTTCAATTATTCTAAATCGATTCTATTATTTATTTATTTAGTAGATATAGATTTAATAATCTATTCTATAGGAAAATCAATTTCAATGTATTAATTAAAAAGATAAATTTATTTCTAAATTATTAGAAATAAAAGAATAATTTATTCTCTTTATTTTCATATATTATTAATATAGCCTATTCTCAATTACCTAGTTATATTAATTTGCTTCTATTATATCTCTTACTAATGATAATTATTATTATATATATAATTTTTATTATAAAATTTATTTTATTAAAATTATAAGAAATTTTATTTAAAATACAATATTTTGCTTATATATTTATAATTAATTAAAACTACTTTTCAAAAAGCTTAGAATCTTTATAAAGAATTCTTTGGAAATTATAAATATAATTAAAATATATTTTTAATTTGATTTGATATTTTATGAATCAACATATTTAAAGCTTTCTAATATATTTCATATCTTTTAATTCGAAAATATAATTTATTAAATCTTTTATATTCTTAAATTTAGATAAAAAAATCTTTTAAATTTATATCAATTATATATTTAGAAATAATATTCTTTTTTAATTTTAAAAGATTATAAGATTTAGATTGATATTTGAAATGAGAAATAAAATCTTTGATTTTATATTGTAGTATTATATTTAGAATATTATATAGCTTTATAGCTTTTTGAATACTTATTTTTTTATTTTTTTGAATAATTTCAATAATAAGAAGTATATAAGCTTCTTAATTATTCAAATTCATTATAAATTGTTGTTAAAATATATATTAAAAAAGAAGAGAATAAATTAAGATAAAAATGATTCATTTATTAATATAACTCATTCACTAATAAACCACGTTATATATTACTATAAAACTCCTTCATTTAAGCTTTTTGAATATATAGATATATATAATATATACTATAATTCAATATATATTACTCTTTATGTGTAACTTACTGTTTATTTCTCATAAATATAGATTCGAATTTAATAAAAATTATAGCAAATGATAGCTTTCAATTGATTGAATAAAGATTTCAATTTTGAAAAGATTCTATTTATTTTTAATTGAATTATTTGAATATGATAGAAATATTATATTTTGAAGTTAATTATAATTAGTTTTTAATTAGTTTTTAATTAGTTTTTAATTAGTTTTTAATTAGTTTTTAATTAGTTTTTAATTAGTTTTTAATTTATATACTTATAATATTAATAAATTTAATTGAATTTCAAAAAATTAAATTATATAAAGTATAAATTGAATTTTTCTCTATTAAAATATTTAATTTTCATTTAAATTATAAGTTGATAAAGTTATTATAAATTGAAATGTCGAAATATAATAGTTTTATATCATGAAACAAATCACGTCTTGGAAACTAGTTACGCACAAAGGTGTAAGATTTAGGAATTACAAAAGAACCCTTGGAATAATAGATAGACACGCAATCTCATTCCGAGTACTTTACTAACGGGAAACATTCAACCACGACCACGGTCGATAGTGGCACCTACAAAAGTCACTATCGCACCTACATCTCGTTTTCATTCAATGTCGACATCTCCACCTAGGGACGACTGGGAATTTGCGCTCATGGGAACACATTGAACTAACATAAAGGCTTTGAATGGATTCTCATCAACAAAAGATCAAGGCCAGACATGACAGACTGTAGAAGATTTCGATTCCTAGGTATTGCTTGCTGTATTAGCACCATATAGCTTATACATATCTCTACAAATTCATAACAATCGCTAGATTGGAATATGAACTACAGGCGCGGCGCGAGATTTGTAAGAATTCTATATTCACTCTTGGTGTGATAGTAATATGAATCCCATTTGTATGGTTCGTGGTTCCATCTACGGCTTCCAAGATTATTTCTAGCATATTTCAAGCTGCATTTGGTACAATATTGATGACTTCTGGGACTGTTCAAGAATGTCAAGTATCCAGCTCCTTTCCTCCAAATGAATTGCATCCGCAATTAAGTCTCATTCTTTCCAGTTTCACATCATATGGTTGACAAAATGACTTTCATTACTCCACCTCAGTGTAGGCAATAGTATTTCCCGTATTCCGTATACGGGTTAGTTTAATGGTATGTATCGAATTTTTTCGAAATATATACATATATAATACAGAATTCAATACCACTAAAAGTATTTAATATCATTTAGTTATTCAATATTATTAGCAATATACTGAAATACTGGAATCCAATATAAAATATATATTCCTATTTATATTAAATAACAAATTTCTATTTCTTATTTTAAATTGAATAGGAATTCCTTATTTCTAGTCTAATTTGAATAGAAATATATATTTTATATTGGATTCTAGTATTTCAATATATTACTAATATTCTTTAGTATATAAATATATACAAGAATAACATAACCTCCTTTCTATATATACTAGCTGCAATATCAATATGCTAATACGCGCCACAGTTTCACTATAGTATACTATTGCCTACACTACTCCACCTTTTGAGTCGCAGTCAATCTTGACCCAAGACGATCCTAAGTGCACAAGACTATTCTGGGATTCGACATACCTGGACAGAATAGACTTGGACCGACTCGACGCCAATCCTGATAATGACATTTCGGATGATGGAACAATGAAGGCCGCTCGAGAAAGATATCCTCACGTTCTCCCTTTATTTGCTTTGTGGGAATATATTTCCGAAGAATGGGCTCTAGATTCCTGGACCAAGCCAAATGGCGGACAGCAAACCGTTGCCGATGATAAGTTTTTGCTTCCTATGCCACTACAGAACAAACAAACTGATTGGAAGCTGCTCTCATAGAATTAAGACAGAAGAAGGAAACACTTTATTCCTCCGTTGTTCGTATAAATACAGCTTATGGCAAGTTTGTTGAGCGCATTCATCCCTTCTCAAGGGGAGTGCATCACACGAGGAAGCATAAACCTTGGGCATATAACTGGCAAGCGAGTGGTTCAGAGAGATATGATCACATTAAGATGTTTAGGGCTTGGTATGACTGGAACCTGCCCCAGAATCACCCACGGCATATTTTAAGCTTTCCAGCGGGTAAGCTTCATTCTTTCTACCTAGAAATTATCTGGTTTCAAAATAAGATCACTAACATTGTAGTAGATATTCTTGATCGGATCATGGAATTTGTAATGATAGCTTCAGAAAACACTGTTGTGCCATTTACAATCACCTCTAGTTCGATGCCATGTCACGAACGGCCTGACTCCATGTTATTCCCTTCCCGAACTTACGGCAAGAGTCTGATCAGTAATCGTTTTTGTAATTCAGGATGCGGACTGAATAACCGGGGGCGTTACAACAGGGAAGGACCTTATCGCAAATGGGACCAGAGTACCTGTTCTGTTCTCGATACTTCCTATCTAAAGGTCTGTAAATCGTTCCAATATATTGGATCAAAGTTATTGTACGGACAAAACACTTTGGAGTTTGCGACAGGAAACCTAAACTGTGGTGACAGTCCAGCTGGTTTTAGTGCAGAGAGAGGTATAAAGTATTATCCATGGCTCCGTCAGCCAATCTATGATCCAGGCAACACGAGGGGATGGGTACGATCCGTCAACAAGGCTATTTCCTGCATTAAAACCCAATCCAATTTGAAAGAACTTCCGGCATGGGCATGGTGTGACCCATTTGTCAGATTTCTTTTCACCATCGGACCTGATAACTCAGCTGAACTTCAAAGATTGAATTTCATCGGACAAGTCAAATCACATAGTTCGATTAGATATACTGACTGCCGCGAAGATTTGGTTCAGAGTATGCGAATATACATTTACATCATCAACATTTTATGTCCCAAGGCATGGAAAGTGACCCTAGTAGCCTAGGGTGAAAATAACATACTTATTGATGAGAACGATGGAAAATGTCTCACTGCCTTTGAAAAGTCCCTTGCGATGTTCCTGGAGACTGAATTTCGGGAATTAAGGTATGTAAGAGAGGTCGCTGTCTATGGAACGAACGACATGTCCGAAGCACATGAGGGAAGCTGTTCTTATAACAGTTGCCAGGGTAGGATGCATTCGTTCTGCGATTCTTGCGTTACTGAAAGAGGTACGCTTGCTTTTGCGAAGCCAACCATGGACTGGTTTGTCAACCGGGGAAGAATTTTGAATAATTCTTATCAACACTCCATGGGCATTGACTGTATGCAATCAATCTAATCAAAATCAACATACACGGGACATGCCATTCAAGTTTGTTGCATGCGAGTATGACCAAGGAACAATCGCCATTGGGTAAGCGCAAGTTAAAGAAACACTAGATACTATGAAGTAGTCATGCCTGGAAGGATTTTGGCTCTCCATAGGACAGTAAGAAGTAAAGTATTCAATGAACTTCGGAATTCTATGAGTCGGTGATCGTATTGAGTGAGAGCATTGCATAGGTAGAGAGGTTTCGTGAGTCAACAAATTCATGGTCAAAAGAATTCTTCGCCCCATCTAATCGATCAACTTTGATATCATCTTCAAGAATTCCACGCATTATCAAATTTTTTGGCCACTCAACAGCTCAAACACACTTGAATTGACTTGGGTACAAATAACGAATGTGAAGTCCACATAAATACACAGTGACATTCGCCATGATTCTTCCAACATCCGATTAATTTTGCTATATAGACCCGTGATGTGTACAGCTTTTGGTAAGTTCGCGAAAGTGACAAAATTTGCACATGTTCCATGATTATGCAAGTATAACTCACAGGAATTCAACCGCTAACGCCATATTATTCGCAAAATTGGCAGATTCCGTTGCATACCCCTGGCCTCCCCATACACCATTTGCAGATGTAAGAAGCATTCGTTACTCCATATTGTGCCAGATATCGTCCCGTCAATCATCAAGAAGGATCACCACCTTAAATATTGGTAGCAGCTAACAACTGCTGTCTCAATCTATCCTCCACATTCATTTCCTGCACTTCCAGATTTTGGTGATGATTTTCAACTTGCTGTGATTCGTCATGTCCAGATTCCTCGACTTGCAATATCTCGGGGCTGTTACTTCCACTTTTATGATCTTCCATAGGCTCTGGAGTTTGTTGATAAGGACTTCCGTTCCCATTCTCGTGGTTCGAATTCTGCATACCTGCAGCCAGTGCCAATACACCATGAAATCTTGCGCTTTCTTCATTCCCTGCGAGTCTGGCCCTTTCTTCCGCTTCCTTCCTGGCCGCTTGAGTTGGTGCTCTGGTCTTTAGTTCACCAGTCACACATTGAAGATAGTATGGAACCTCAATATTACTCTTGAGAAAAAATAGTTTGAGGTTTCGCGCTTTGTCTTTCAGTTGAACTTGGTTCCGATCGCGCAGAATAGTGCTGACTGAACCTTTGTCACCGTAAAGGGCAAGTATTTGACTCCAATGTGGACCTTTCACCGAATCGAGACCTGCCATCAAAGCATTTTCTTCTTCCGTGCTCCATGGACGACGTTGAGATGGCAGTCCAGGTCTAGCTTTCTGTCCCGGATTATTCTTTGCAGCTGCAGCCTGTCTAGCTTTTTCGTAAAGAGCAGAGGTTGATTCCGATTGAGAATGATGAGGCGTAGTTGTAGATGTACTAGTAGTATTATATTGAGTTGAGTAAGTATTAGGTGATTGATTGGGTGGTTGATAGGTAGTTTGATATTGAGCTTGACGATAGCCTTTGAAGTAAATTAGTCACGGATTGTAAATGAAGTTGGTACAAGCATACCATTCTGTGGAGTAGTCGATTGTTGATATATGCCTGCATCTTCGGGGACGTTTTGAGTTGTATGCTCAGTATTTGTATTAGTGCCAACGTATGCAAAAGCATTTCCATTCGACGGACCACCGTTTGAACCCTGCGAGTATCCGGTCGAAGTGGGGATCGTGAGCCCATATTTAGACATATAAGGTTCCACCAATGGCCTATAAGCATCCATATGAATATGAGTGGATCTTAGAAATGAGTCCCAGTTGAAGAGATCGCTAAGTTCCTCTGCATGTTGGTCAGTATGGGAAAAGTAATGCGGGGGATTATCTTACTAATTTTGGCGGGATCATTTCCTTGGTTGATCAAATATACTCTTCTGATATCTAAATCAACAAGTAGTTGCAGCTCATCATCTGTGAGAGGATAGGGATGTCTTTGGGAGAGAAGATTCCGGAACTCTGGAGAGAATATCTCATCGATAAGGTCTTCAACAGGTTTGTCTGACTCCTCCATTGATAATGCTGCAACAATGATTTGTGTCTTCAAGTTCATGAGCAATTGTCCCGATGCTTTCGATATGGCCTCTCCTTCCCGAGTCCAGGTGTTGACGAAATGTTCATTGAGTTCATAAAATCCAACCTCTTGTCCGCCAAATACGCTGGACACAAAAGTCGCATGATTTGCAAGTCTGATAATCTCTCGTTGAGCTGGATCTATGATATTGAGTTCGTCGGCAGAAAGAAAAGTTGAAGTTCCATAAATTCTTTTTGTTTTATCGAAGAGATCGTTCAATGTTTGGAATGACAGCCCACGAGCGGTATCTCTTTGCGTTACCATGACGACTATCTCATCGTATCCTCCTTCGGAAAGAATGTTTAACATTTGCACAGCCTGATGATGAATTAGAGCCATCCACACAATTTCACATTGAAGACAACCATACCAAACATTCCAATGACATTAAACTGATCACCTGCAGAGACAGTTGATGATCGGTACGGAGTCGTTCGTAGGCGGCGCGACTGTTCGGTTGTCGAACTTGAGCATGAGGAGTCTTTGGGGGAGAAAGTGTACTTAGGTTGGCTTCATGCGACTGGTCTTGATGGGAGGTATGATCATTCATTTCCATAGTTCCCGCGTCTTGGTACTCTGCAGAGACATGAGCAACACCAGAGGCAATGATAGCGTCGATATCGAGATCCCCCAGACCATCATCTACATCATCTGCAGGTGGTATGGCGACAATTTCATTGGCGGAATCGGGGATGGAAAGTTGTGGTTGCGCTGATTCGAATTCAATCCTCTGCCTCTTTTCTGGTGATTCTAACTCTGATAATGATACTCTTCGTTTTAATGCAGACAATTGAGGAGAGAATGGGAGGTTTTGAGACGTCTCGAGCTTTATTGGAACATCTGCGAAGATTACTTGTTAGGACGACGAAGTAGGAGTGAAAAATGGGGTTGGCTTGAAGTAGGAGGTTGCCTTTCGACCTCCGTCGTCATCTCCTCCATAAACTTACCATCATTAGTTGAAGCCATTGCCAATGAGTTCATAGATGAATCTGCCATGGTCGGAGTCGCATGAAAATTTGGAAGAAATACCTCTTGTTTTGGATCATGCAAGCTTATTTGTATAGGTAGGCGCAACAGAGAATTTTCCATTCATACCGTATCTAGATTAAACAAGCGTCATTAACTTATCAGTCATGTGATATTTTAGCCCTGAAAATTGAAACCTAAAACCCAATCAGACAAATCTCAACCGTTTAAATGATAGATACACAGAAGGAAGCCAAGAATGAAAAAATATTCACTGATACAATCTATTATGTATATATTCTATTAAATATTGTTAACATGATCTCAATCACTGGGGATTCTCTTGAACGTAAATTTTAATTGCAAATCATTTTGTGATAAAAGTGGTCAACTACAAATCAAATATCACTTGTCTACTCGAGTATCAATTTTTTTCCTGAAGATGAGGATTGGCAGTCATACATTGGCATACCAAATACAAACATAGAATAATCATCAAAACTTCACTTGCTATAGCCAGGGAGAGGAATCTGCGCGTGGTAATGAATTGGAATGATGTTGACAGTTGGGGATGACATAATATTTGCACCTTTCACATGGTCATTTTCCTTCTCATTCTACATATAATCTTGGGAAGTGAGATTTTATGGTCGATGTAATTTACAATTCCTCGTCTGCTTTTTAGGTCAATACCTGGCGCACTGATTGGTCTCAATTTGTTCTATTGTCATCAACACTATCTGCGTGGATATCTCCAGATATGGATCATACCTGCACTGTGGTTAAAATATCTCGAGTAATGTTCACCAATGGGTACATCGTGAAATCTACTGGAAGGCATTGTATCCGTCTATGCTTTCATGGGCTGAAAGTTTCTTACCTGCCTCGAAGTCTTACCATATCCCTTATTCTTTTGGCAATGGAGGTCTCTGAAGAGTTAAGACTGAGCACTTCTTCTTTTCCATTTAACCTCGCAAGTATTTGAATAGAGAATGTTTTCTTGAGTACGACGTATGTGATCTTCCACGAAGCCCGTCATCCAAACAGTCTAGATTGTAAGTGTATTGTTGATATAGAGAGCTCTTGCAAATATGGTCTATTGGCTCCCACCATATTGAAGGGTAGCTGAACTAAGTAGAGACTTCCACGGAGAAATCCCAAGTCCAACCTTCTTGAAATGCACTCGCCCAAGCCTACCTTTCACATGAATTTGTTTGGTCTTACCTCCACTGCATCTGTCTGGGGGCCAACCTCTTTATACAACTTCCAAATGAGTAGAATGACCAATCATAGCTAACCAAGTCCCACGTAGAATTTGTTGTGGTGGGATGGAGATGATTACTCAAAGGACATAGAGTGTTATCGGATGCAACATTCAAGATATCCCGTATACCCAGGTAGGTGAATAATCACATCGTCGAACTGCGGACGCTTATACAGGGAACTGGCAAGTCTTGATACGTAAATGATCACGAGTCAATACGTAGCACCCATCAATGGACAGTGAGTCTTGATCAAAACATGAAGCCGGAACTCCTGGGGGTTCAGCTGGACGCAATTAGCAAGCAGGGAGATGGAGGCGTGGGTTTAGTAGGTGGTCGTTCATTACAATTCTTATAATATCCATTGAATGAGTGTCCAACTCATCATGTCCACAATTTGACCGAACCAGAGCATGAAGTTGGGATCGATCCGAATAGTAACCGAATTTTTGACGAAGAAGTACAGAGAATGAGGTATAATGACACATCGCTCTTGGTATTTAGAGTTTTCTTGCGAAAAGGGCAATATAAATTACAGCAACCGTGCACTTCTACTTAGTCGAAACACGTTTTTCGATACATTCCTTTAATCATTATGTATTTATTATATTAATTATATTATTAACGTGGTTTACTAGTGAACGAGTTATATCAATGAATAGGTCATTTATTTTATATATAAAATTCGTTTGTGTATAATCATATACTTTCTTTATTTATAAATATAATTTTCTGAAAATTTGATACAAAATATTTGAATATAAAAGAATTTTAAAAATCTAATTAGTTTTAAAAAATTCGAATTTATAAAATTGTTATTATAAAAATAGCTTTTTTGTAACAAAAATTGTAACAATTTCCTTTCTTTTTTAGAAAATAATAAAATTATCTTATCAAAATTAGATTAATAAAAAATCTATATTTTAATTATTTTTTAAGATTTTTTATTCAAAAAAATAATAATTAATTATTAAAAATATTAATATTCTAAAAACCTTGATTTAAATGATTTTCAAAATAACTCATTTATTGATATAACCCACTCACTGATAAATCACGTTATAATATATTCTATCTAAATTAATTAATTATAATAATATTCTTTATATATAATTGAATTTATATAATTATAGAAAAGTAGTGGGAAGGATAAAGGCAAATAATAATTATTAAGAAATTATAAATACTTTTGAAATAGAAAAATCGATTATTATTTATATTATTAAAATAAATCAATTATGTAATGATTGAAAAACTTTATTTAAAAAGATTAGAAAGAAATTATATATAGATCGAAATGAATAAGTTTTATTATATTATATAAGATTATAAACTAAATTGATATATTAGGAGATAATTAATATCTATAAATTGGATTATAAAAAAGATATTATCAAAAGGATGTTAAAGAATTATAAAATAATCAATTAAAGAATTGGAAAAAGATTTGAATTTATAAAAAAATACATAATTAAAAAACTAATTTGATATTTAGATTATAAGAAATGGATAATAAAGGAATAAAAATTAATTTTTTGGTTGAATGAATATTGTTAGGGTATAGGTAAAGACTTATATTGTATTATAAGAGTAGAAGAGCTATAGAAGAGTGAGGCTCTACTTATAAGAAGTAGGGCACGCTAGTGGTCTATGCCTGAGGCACGAAGGCAACTACAGACATATAGTTGGCGCCGTGATAAATATTCTGTAGAGTGGGGGAAAAAGAAAAATTAGAAATAAGTATTCTATTCTTTAAGTTAGAAATAGGATTGGAATATAATTCAAATTTATTCTATAAATAAAAATATAAAGATTATAGTTTAAAAAGATTTTTGTAATATTGAAAAAAGTAAGCTTTATATTATGAATAGGGATTTTGAAAATAAAAAATTCGAATAAAATATTAATTTTTATTTTGAAATCTTTAATAAGGAATTAATTTCTATTTAAAAAAAAATTGATTAAGAAATATTAATTTATATAGAATAATGTTTTTATATATTAAATTAATAAATTATTAGAATAATTTAAAACTAGAAATATTCCTTTAATCGATTTTTAGCTTTTTTATAATTCTAATTTCAATTCTATAGAGTATATTATAAGTAGTTTTAAATATATTAAATAATAATTTATTTATAAAATTAGGAGCTAATATAAGGAATAGAATAAAGACTTATATTGTAATAAACAATTAGTATATTAAATATTAAAAGATTTAATTAAATTATTCTTATAGAATTTTATTATATTAATATTGATATATAGATTAGGAGATTATTAAAGATTTAAAATATAATATTAAATAATTGATTTAATAATAAAAATTGAATAATATATGATTGAAACTAAAATCCCGGGTAAAATCCGGTCGATTAAATAGAAGTGCCCTAGTACTGTAGAATGGATTCGTCGGGTGAAGCAAAACAATACGTTGTTATTGGGAATTGTAAATTCTCAATTCCCAATTGACAACAGACATCAAGTGAGAGGCAGTTGAGGACAAGCAGGGCTTCACTTCATCGTTAAACCGATCTAATAAATCAAGGTCGATTACCAAATGCGTGCGCGGAAATTCCGTCCGCCCCCCCCATGACCCCAGGCACGGAATACGGAACGAAATCTGGAGAAATGGAAACGCTTTGATTTCCTTTTGCTTCTCCAGCTTTTCTTTTTCTCCAATCATGGAATGAAACGATAAACCCACGGCTCCTACATATCACTAACTCATTCGGTGTTTATTGTGGTCGTGAGATTTTATCACCGAATTTTCAATCATTTTATCGGTGATTAATCTTCAATTTCTAAATACGTAGGTACCTCTTGACAGGAAGGTTAAGAGATCGCGGGAACAATGCCACGAAAATGCGGAGACCGAGGTTATGATAGCCCGATCGACCGAGAAAGGCTGAAGGAAATACAGCGCCATGCCAAAGCAGAGAAATACAGTACAGTATGACATTGACGACCTGTGCTTTCATGACATGCGTTAGGAGATAAAGAAGCTGGTAATGCACTTAACAAACGCAACATGGAGTTTGCCTGGGTCATACGGGTTAAGAACCTCATTTAACTCATCGATTAAATTTATAGGTACTAGGTAGGCACGTATGTTCGTAGGTACTCGACTACACTGTACAGGAGTATCTACGTAAATGGAGTGGATCAAATCCAGAGAGAACATAAAGATATACCTTCCCATTCCATTAAGATCCCGGCACTAGTAGTAGTAGAGATCTCCGTAAATGAGGGGTAATTAACATTTGACTTCCTCACTTCCTAAATGTAAAGGGTGACATATTAGTGGATCATTACCAGGTCCCCACCTACCCGAGCGCGCTACCCCCTCGAGCCCCTCTCCACATCCAATACCAGTATCAAACTCGAACCAGCTGCCTGCTGCTTCCTGGGCTCCTGCGTGATACTGGATACTAATCATTAACTTGATGCTTTAAGGGCGTACGGAACCTTTTACTCGTAGTGCAGTGTATTAATGGATTAGTGATATTGGGATAAGTGGAATGATTGGATGATATGGAAAGATGTTTCCAAATAACGGCTTAAGAACTACCCCTACCCCTCAAAAGCCACCGAAACTATGGAGCATGAAGCAAGCACGCACTAGGTATTAGGTATGTGGGTAGCTAGGTAGCTAGGCAAACGCCTTGTACTTTGTAGGTCTAGCAACAAGAGATGCAGTGAAGTTAGATGCGAAATTGGTTCTCTCAGCCTCTCAATAACTTGGGGAGCTCTTGGTGTGGAATTAGGCCTAGAATCATCGATATTCATTCCCTTTTTGGCTTTGGTTCTAGAAATACAGAGAATGTAATAGGGTGAAATGTGGGAATACGTGTAATGGTTTGGGAGCTGCATCTTACAGACAAGTTCCACTCACACTGTCGGTATCTTCCTTCAGAGAAAGCAATAGCAAATCAATTTCTCTTAACCTCCATGGGATATGACGCCCAGGAGCTACTACTACCAGTCTACTAGGTTACCTGGACATACAAGTCTGCTATTTCCATACCTCCTTCAGAATTATAGCCAAGATAGCACTCAAATACCCACCCCGCGTCTCACCAATTTGACTAATTGTAATTGATTGTAGCAAGAAACCTTGTGAATACCTACGAGTAGTCTAGGGGATACGTAGACATTTGCCGAGTATTGATATCACCGTACTTCCGCCTCCTTCCCTTCAAGGTTGCTTTCGGGTTTAGATATTGTTAGCTTGGATCTACATTCTGTAATTAATAATTCTCTTGAAAGGAGGCAATTGTCCACTCACCTACTACTACTTAAACCCATTACCCGACCCCTCATCTCGTCTGTGTCCCGTCTCTTTATTTCATTCCTCTTCAACTCTCTACAGTTCAAACAAATCGATTTCACATACCACACCACAACAAATATATACAAAAACAAATACTTTCATCGCGCATTACAATCATATACCCATCATGACTTCAGTTCAACTCAAAACGCCACTTACTGGCGAATATACTCAACCCACAGGATTGTATGTGGCTATCCAAAGACCCGTCATTACCCACCCCGCACCCCGCACCCGGAACAAGATATCAAACAGTAGCTAACAGTATCTTCTAACAACAGGTTCATCAACAACGAATGGGTTAAAGGTGTTGATGGAAAGACTTTTGAAGTCATCAACCCTACCACTGAAGAAGTCATCACTTCCGTACACGAAGCCACCGAAAAAGATGTCGACATCGCTGTCGCAGCTGCACGAAAAGCATATGAAGGAGAATGGAGAAAAGTTACACCTGAAGGTCGTGGCAAATTACTTGTCAAATTGGCAGACTTGGTTGAGAAGAATGCCGATCTCTTGGCAGCTGTCGAATCATTAGACAACGGAAAGGCAATCTCAATGGCAAAAGGTGACGTTGCCGCCGTCGCTGGATGTTTGAGATATTATGGTGGATGGGCAGATAAAATTGAAGGAAAGGTTATCGACACCGACCCAGAATACTTCACATACACAAAGCAAGAACCAGTATGCCATCTCTTAATCTGCAGCTAGATAAAATTCAATTGCTAATATTTCTCTAGATTGGTGTCTGTGGTCAAATTATTCCATGGAACTTCCCATTGCTTATGTGGTCGTGGAAGATTGGTCCCGCTGTCGCAACTGGTAACACCGTTGTTCTCAAGACCGCCGAACAAACTCCTCTTTCCGCACTTGTTGCCGCAAACCTCATCAAGGAAGCCGGTTTCCCTCCAGGAGTTGTCAACATCATTTCGGGTTTCGGAAAGATTGCAGGTGCTGCCATCGCATCTCATATGGATGTTGACAAGGTTGCTTTCACTGGTTCTACCGTTGTCGGTCGTCAAATTATGAAGGCTGCTGCTGGATCCAACTTGAAGAAGGTCACACTTGAACTCGGAGGTAAATCACCAAACATTGTCTTCAACGATGCCGACATCGAAAACGCTATCTCTTGGGTCAACTTTGGTATTTTCTTCAACCACGGACAATGTTGCTGTGCTGGTTCAAGAGTTTACGTTCAAGATGGTATCTACGACAAATTCGTTGAGAGATTCAAGGCCCGTGCCATCGCCAACAAGGTTGGAGACCCATTCCACCACGAAACATTCCAAGGTCCACAAGTTTCCCAACTTCAATATGACCGTATTATGGGCTACATTGATGAGGGTAAGAAGTCTGGTGCCACCATTGTTACTGGTGGTGAGAGACATGGTGATAAGGGATACTTCATTCAACCCACAATCTTCTCTGATGTCACTGAAGATATGAAGATTATGCAAGAGGAGATCTTCGGTCCTGTCTGCTCTATCGCCAAGTTCTCTACTGAAGAGGAGATTATCAAGATCGGTAACGGCTCCAACTACGGTTTAGCCTCTGCTGTCCACACTCAAAACCTCAATACTGCTCTTCGTGTATCCAATGCTCTCAAGGCAGGTACAGTCTGGGTCAACTGCTACAACATGCTACACCACCAAGTACCATTCGGTGGATACAAGGAATCTGGTATTGGACGCGAGTTAGGTGAAGCAGCTTTGAGCAATTACACACAAACCAAGTCTGTAAGAATCAGATTGGGTGATGCTCTCTTCGGTTAAGGATTTTTTAATCAAGCAAATAGTCTTTTAATTTGTACAATTTTGGGGGTTTTCAGGGCGAAACGAGCCTGGCTTCGGTTCTTTGGTAGTATTAGCGTTTATGAATGAAATTACATGTCCATGAAATCAAAAGGATAATTCTTGTTCACCTTTCTTATCATATCAAGACTATTTTTTGTGTATCTGTACAATCATATCCTATTCTATAGTTTTCACAACAGATATGACATATGACAAAGATAATGCCCATGTGAGACTTATCAACATCTCCCCCCGGTCGCTTATCATGTCGATAAGGTCTTGAAAGTTGCATGTGCATAGGATATGCGACTAGAGGTATCAATGAGTTTAATTCTTGTTTTATCAGCGCATCTGTCTTTTCTATTTTAATTTGAATGTTGGAGCTTGAACTTCATGAATCGAGTAAATGGTAAATGTGAATGTGAATGGTGTACTGGTAGTAGATGTGGGGGAATTTTTCGCAGCATCAGTAAGAGCTTTTTTAACCTTCAGCTTTGAGCTTCAGAGGACCCCGCTCCTCAAATGCATTTTCGATAAGGTGGTCCGATGAAAGGAATTTTGGTATGACGCCAAAGGCGTTCACATGCTCTCACGCCAAGCATACACAATGCACTGCATAGGTAGGGTGGCTCGGGTACGTAGGTAAGCTTCGATGTCGATTATATCACATAAACATACCTTCTACCAAGTATGTACTAGGTAGGTCCACGGGTAAGTATGTAGACGGTCCAGCCACAAAACGGCTGCAAGAGCTGTACAGTAGCCATAAGAAGCTCTAATCAATGTCCGAGGGCTCCTGCATTTCCAAGCCGGCCCTTTGCAAGGACGCTACACACCTCGTTCATCAACCACCCAGTCGATTATAGCCAATAGGTAAACTTCATCGTGTGATTGATCTTTGATTGCATAAATCTATCCTCAATTTGGTCAAGAGGTAAGGATGAAGCTCGAGTAAGTGCAAGCAAGTAGCTCCAGTGAGCAATTGAGAAGAATACCAATCCTGAACGAAAGTCACCAAGTTGGTACTTAGAGTTTGGAGCTTCTATCGCAAGGCAGTTACGTATAAGTACACAGCTGGTCGTCATTTCTACCAGATCTTCAAGGCTCAAATCGTCCACACAACGTACTGTGTGTGGAAAGGTATAAATGAGCGTGTGATATCTTGAATACCGATAATTACCATCCTCTACTACCTAAGTGCTTCCAATCCCAAGTATTTTACGCCGGTAATACCATTCGATGCATTCATAACTCATATCATCATATTCCCATCAGAAAATATACTTCGCCGCGAAAGTTGTCGCAAACGAAGCTTTAAATTTACCCCGCATTCCCACCCTACTGCATCCAGCTCGTGAAGCTTATCACGAACTCGTTTTGAGAAGCTTTGGAGGAGAGAAAGTATTTTGCACAAAGGAATGACTTGAGGTGCTGAAAGAAATGACATAATGCACAATTAATGACGACAACCATCGCATGTTATATCTTGTGTTCGAATACTCGGCACCAGAATTAAGAGCGTTCTGGAAAACAAGACAATTTTTCAAAACTTCATTCTTCCACCTTCACACAAATTCGATTTTTAAGACTACCTTGGATGCTATTTTGGACTTCAAACTCCAATTGACACATTGAACCTTCATCCCCTTCTAGAATCACGATCAAGATGGGTTTGGTATCTACTCTGTTTATGTTCTCCATGGCTTCAATTTCCATAGCTCAGTCAAACATGGTGCCCATAACATGGTCCTCCATTGTTTATACATATTATGGGGAAATCACCCCTACGATGATCAATGCCACTTCTCCTGTTCTTACACCTCTGGGGGCTAGTCAACTCTATAACTCAGGATCTATCATTCGCGACCGTTACCTGAATTCTACCTCAACACAACTCACTCTCGGACTACCCATCAACGGCCTCAGTGATCAATATATTGCCAACAATCAATTACAAGTATGGACTACTAGTGATGAGTATATTGTTGGGAGTGCACAAGCATTCATGCAAGGACTTTATCCTCCCGTAACGGGAGTACGAGGAACAGATAGTGTATGTGTTATATCACAACCTGCTCCCATATCCCTGTCTTTCTATCCCTCGGTCCTATGATATCCATTTATCACTGTCTATTATTTTTGCAATATGAGTCACTACTGATATGAAGACGTGTTGCGATGATAGATTCTAGCCAATGGCACCGTCATCGACTATCCTCTAGGTGGTTATCAGTATCCTAATATTCAATCGCTGAGTTCAATGGATTATAATTATATTTGGTAGATATTTCATCTTTTCTTAACAACTCCTCTTCATTATTTTGGAACTTTCGCTAATCTTCTTACAGGATTGCGGGGAATGACCAATGTAGAACCTACGATATTGCAACAAAATCTACGAAGACATCCCCAAGTTTAACCTCTATGATGGCTAGCACTGATGAGTTTTATCTTTCTCTTGCAGACACCTTTTTTGCCGGCATCGATAGCTCTCTACTTAATTATGGCAACGCAATCAACCTTTATTACTATGCACTTTACCAATATAATCATAATAGCTCTATTTACGACATGACCAATTCTTTCGGTCTTCTGGAGACTTTGAATGGTTTTGCATCAGAACAGGCTATCTCTTTTAATACGCCTAGCACGGGATCCAGTATTCAATATATAGCAGGTCAAACTTTTGCCTCCAAAATTATCCAACAATTTCAACAGGCCATTTCGAGTTCTGGGGTCAGCGACAAATTGTCTCTTTACTTCGGTTCCTACGAGCCGATGTTAGCATTCTTTTACCTCTCATCCCTCTCAACTTCAGATCTCACGAGAAAACGTTTTTCTAGATTGCCAGAGTATGGAAGCATGATGGCTTTTGAGCTTTTTAGTTATGTTGAAGAAGCACAATATGATTCATCCAATTCATTTCCCGAAGTAAATGAATTATGGGTTAGGTTTTTATTCAGAAATGGAACTTCGGACACCGACCCTTTGATATCCTATCCCCTTTTCAATCTCGGCAATTCGGAAATCGACATGAAGTACACTGATTTTGTCACAGAAATTGGAAAGTTTGCCATCAACGATTTGAACGCCTGGTGTAGTTCATGTGCCTCTATCTCAATGTTCTGTGCAGCCATTTTCAGTAACGAGTCTTCCAATTTCGCTTCAAACAAAACCATTAATTTTCATTCAAAGAGTGTCAGTGGTATAGTTGGTGGCATTATCGGGGCAGTTGTTACATTGGTAGTTGTGATGCTTATCGCATCAATTCTTGCGATCTTTGGGTTCAGAATGCACCATCGGGAGAAGATAATCTCCAACTCCGCGGGAGGAGTTGGAGTTCTGAAAAGAGGCTCATCCGCTGGCGGAGGAGGTTTTAAAGGTCCCGAGAAACTCGCGTCTGATACAGATCTTAATATAGTCAAAGGGCCTGGTGTTGGTGCTACCACGAAACACGAAAGAGTCGGCAGCTGGGAAATGGGTAATGCACCTAATAAGAATACCAACAGTGGCGAAGGAGCTGCTAGACTGAGACAGGAAAGAGTAGTGAGCACCGCGGATTACAGCAGGAGAAGCGAAGATGGAATCGGAAATCATGATCCTTGGGGAAAGGGTGTCCAGGGTGAGGACTATATTTAATGAATGGCAGTGTTTTGTATATTCCAGTCATGAGAGAATTTGTTCTGTAGCACATCCACATTTGCTAAATGGTGGTGTTTGAGGTATCTTGATTGTAAAGGTGGACTTGACAGTAGTATAGATAAGGATATGACTATGGTTGCCTGATAATAGTCAGATAAACCGAAGAAGTTGGATAATTTGGTTTGTAGGAGGCAAATATGATAGAGCAATACCACACCCTGAAATTTCAGAAATCGAAGTATGGTGAGTTTGCTAGCTTCACGATCTGCATTTTTTATAGAGCAATTGCCGAATTTAACACCGATACTGCTCACTAATATGTCCCGTGTGATGATTTCACAGCTATATACACCTAACGATGACCCTTGCCTCAAGGTAATTCTGTCCGCCCGAATCCAATTTCTGCGGATTTTTAGTATGAATGTCCGCTCACCCCGAGAAAGACGAACAGTCTCTCTCCACATTAAGCTGATTGAAAGCATCCAACATCCACGGAGCCTAAATCGAAATTCCTACGTTTAGATTTGGATTGTTTCTTTGTCATTCGATGAGCGGGACGAGTTTTCGTCAGATAGCAATTTACTTTTAGTATACAAGTGCCAAGAGCGAAAAATAGAGTAGTGAAAAAAGTAGCAAGAGGAATCTGGTACTTTTGATATAGATTTCTTACCAAAAATCTCCTTTCTATTCTTACATTCACAGCTGCTAGTTGTATTGGCACTTCTTCGACGTGCAGTGATTAAGTGTTGACTTTCTGTTGGACTTCTGCCAGACTCTATAGTATATCTCAAATTCTTTCTTAAGATTTCCGCGTCATGGCGACGTAGTCTTTCTTGAAAAGTTCTTCGCTCACCCTAACGCCTATGTACACTTTGTCCCAAGGTTGTTGATGTCGCTGTTCAATGTTTCGCGCATCCATTCTTTGACAACGAAGAAGTAACATGTCAGTTCCGAAATCACGATGCAAGAGTTTGTGAATCATTCCCCTTTGCAACATTCGCTTTTGGAAAACAGGAGTTGACATCTTACCGATTAATACAATCTCCTGTAGACATTAGACTTTAGTCAGCGTTTGGGCAACTCGATATGCCATTATATTCTCATCCATCGTGCTCTCTCATCCAGCAAGCAGATGTCGCTAATGGCTTATACACTACTGACAATGGCATTCATCATACTGAGGTGGCTACATCTTCTGGTACTGCGGATTTGGGCTATAATAGCGACTTTGGCATCGGATTCCATCGTCTTTGGGTTGCTAATATCTTTGAGAATTATGCTCGCCTTAGAACAATCTTTGGTCAAGTTGGAGGAACAGTTTCAAATGATTCTGTGTTCTAGGCCGTCCAGACCCTCCAAGATCTTTCAATGCAGCCATTACTCAGACTAGATCCAAGAACATTTTGGGCAACCGCAACTGGATTCTTAATGTTGCATACACCTGGGACAACGTGGAGAACGACTAGAAAAGAGCGTGTTATAGCAGATAGACACGTCATTTGTTGCGGGTACTTGCTCCCGCGATTGAACCAATCTTCCCACGGAATATTCTGGTACTCTGTCGACAATCCCCTGTAATGATAGAAATGTTCAATTGGGAAGGTGATTTCGTCTTTCACACCAGTTTCTCTTCTCCTCTCTTGACTACTGCCGTGAATATCTGTCATGAACTTGAGGTTCAATTCTTTAGAAAGTTTCGTTCTTACGCCTTACCACTGCATTTCAAGATTTCCTTCTCCTATTTCTGATCGGCTACTTTAACAGAAAGCCGAATACCACTGCTTCATGATTTTGTAGTTATGATATCAAAAGAAGCTCAACCACAAATTTTCCTCTTGGGTTTGACAGTCTTTTGCAATCCAATATAGTGTATCATCATTAAGTTTCTTCATTCTGCCAAGAACGTCGTAGGACGCCATTAGCACGACAGCTAGCCCCCCTAGCTACCACTAGTAGGGTAACTAATGACACCAAGAGGCCACAGTTTGAATTTTCTTCAATTATATATATAGAATCCATCATCGCACTGAGAGCCTCGTTCATCCCATAGTTAACATATCATATTGTCAGACACCAACTTCGTCATCTTAATACAAAATTTCTAATTCAAACATCAGCTTCATCACTATCATTCACTCAAAATTTCCACGATGGTTTCCACACCTTTTTCCAATGATGATACACTATGGATCTCTATAGTATTGTACATTTTCGTCTCGATGGTAATTGGCATTGTTATTTGGTGGGGCGCTTGCTCTCGACGTTCGAGGCGTAACGAAATCATTGATGAAGAACAAGCTACCGTTTCTGAAGATACTGTCAACGGTTCTGGGGTCATGATCGAGAGGTGATTAGGGCAATGACTATGGTACAGCAAATAACAAATCCCGAATTGAACGACGATGCTGAGGTCATATATCGGGAAATTGGCCATGTCCTTGAAAGCTCATACTCAAGTTCTAGAAGCGGATCGTCAAATTCCAAGTGCCGACACTAGTAAGAGGCTCTGTGAGTGAAGGAACGCAGATCAGTGACAGAGCGTCATACTAGTACTTGGGACAATTTCCGTTACCTATTGGAAAGTCTAACTTTTCAAGAGCTCTGAGCCTTTACTACGGCAATGGAAATACATAAATCGCCCTGTTATCAAACGAAAACCATCGGCAAATATGTTATATAATCAATTTTCAGAAGAAGTTCCATATCACGCAATTTAATAAGGTATGTAAAAATCTTCTACAACCGTTGTCTCCAGCGGCACTGGCATTTACCCCTGAGTGATTCTCTTTATCACTCTCGTCTCTGACATCTTGATCCACAGACATACATTCATTATATGCAATACTCCGATTTTGAGAGAATATATTCGAATAAATCAAAATTCCGAAGTTCTACTATAACACCCTACTGGCAAATATGGATTGAGCTTACAGCATTGGGTCTTCGGAGCGACCCTGCTGTATAATTCAATAGAGAATTATCAATTCGCAACAACTAATTCAACATGGAGAAATGAATACTTAATCGAAGAACTAAATTTTCTTATGCAAACATATTCTTGAGGTGTGCCTTCTCGCGCTTTCTTTTATGATGCACAACACCTAACTTCGAAAGAGCATCGACAGCCTCTTCTTAGCCACTATTTGCAACCATTCTCTACGTTCTCTTCATCTAATATCTGCTCACTAAAACCCAAGAGATCATGGCACCTTCACAGCAACCAGATTCTGTTGCCAGCATGGAGAATTGGGAGTCATCTCATCTCGACAGGATGTACGTTCACGACCTTATGGAACTTCATAAACAGGATCTAAAGCAATGAGAAGTGATGTCAATGATCCAACTGAAGGCATTCAGCATGGAGAATTCCCCTGAAATTGATAAAGAGAAGCTTCTCACAGAACTTGTCACTCAACGCTGGATTAAAAATGTCATCTTCGTTAGGGATGGACAGAAGTGTATCATCGCCAATGGTAAATAACAAATCATGCCTAAACTTTCATAATTTCTAATATCATGCAGATATTGGTCATCGCAAAGACTTTCGGTACTCATGGTTTGAAGAGCCCTTTGACGATAGGCGCCGAAAGTATCTAGTCGATCCACGTGGCCGAACACTCAAGGAAATCGACCATACAAGCAAGAACCGCAGAGCTTTCATGAAGGACACCCAACACAAGAGTGAGAAAGGACGGCACTTACCACAAAGCCATGATCGTCATTTCTCCAAACTCCCTCAAGGCAAGTCTGAGTTTGACTTGCTTTCTTTCCTCGAATTTCCAACCCAGATTCAACAGAACGAATCGGGATCCATTCCTAACCATTTTTACTTTCAATGCCCCATAAATATATCGATCATTAAAGCTAATTTTCCACGTGCTGCAGAGATCATCGACAAGATGCTAGGTCACCTCGTGCAAATTGCAGATGCCGCACTTATGCCTCGAATCGCGACGACCAATTGGAAAAGGAAATTTAGCGGCTCACCCCACCACACGACTAGTCAGGACTGTGATCCGTATACAACGACTGAGGTCGGTGTACTCACCACGACTGTACATGGCAGACTCTTAGTATTGCGCAAAGTTCACCAAAGTCAAATAGACGCTACTTGTCTACGAGTGTGTAAAGCCTGGAACCAGACGGGAGGTAAGTTTTTGTACAGTTTAACCTGCTACAAATTCGGGACCAATCATCCGACTGGAGATGAAAGTCCCTGGAGTTGGATTAACGGCAGTTCGTGGCGACCATCTCCAAAAAACCCTTTTTTCGTAGCTCGAGACGAATCACCTAGAATCTTCAATTCTAAAATTCAGAAGGGCATTAGAGACATTCGGAAGCAAGTGGCGATCAAGAAATTAGTAGGATGGGTATATCACGATCCATTTCTACGCTTCTTGTATATGATTGGCATCAAGAATGCAGCCCTTCTTTGTACCTTGTCATTTTCTGGTGAGGTTCGCTGTCACCAATGCGAGCAGGGTCACTTTTGCGATGACTGTCTTTTGGAGGGCTTTCGGGTTTACATTCCCGTCATGAATGCGCTTTGTCCCAATGTACAGAAATTGATTTTGAATATCAAAACAGACAGCGAAGCGCGGGCTGTAAACACATTCGAAAGGAAGATCCGTGAGTTTTTCGAGGGAGAACTTCGAAATTTGAGATCTCTTAGGGAACTGGTGGTAGTCGATTTGATCGTAGATGGCTACGAACTACCAGATGGTGATATCGGAAGTATTTCAACCGCTCAACTCGCAGAGCCAACCGTCATTTATTTCCGAAAAAGAGCTTCTTGATCGGCCAATGGCTAGAGGTCATACATTCACGAAAGATTGATTTAGAGGTATTGTTTTTGAAGCCTGATCTTGGGGTCTTTGGAAGATACGTGTAGCTTTTGAGTCGAGTTGAAAATGTCAATTTGGAGGGTGGACACATAGGAATGTAGATGGCCAACTTTTGAGGTGTATGTTCGGAATTATAGTTGAGGATTGAGATGAGGGGTAACCACTACGTGGATAGTGGCATAATAAGTACCTAGTCATTCATGAATTTGATTACACACACATGAATCATGACATCCTTATATGTTCCGAAAATTCAAAGACATCTCAAATGATGATGTTGACATTGACTTGAAAGCGATAAATAATGATTATTGATACTTGAGAATCATCTGACGTTTCATGTCATTTGAATTGTATTCTTGTTGAAGATTGCATTATGTGATCCCACCAAAACCAGAGTTAGGACTCGAAGATGCAGCAGAATGCCTCGACACCCCTTTCTCATGTGCACGTCGCAATTCAATCATCTATCGTTCTTTAATGGCAAAGCTGATACAGAGCTGATCAAATATAAGGACGAAACAAGTTAACTAACTACTATGAAAATTTGTCTATTTACTGATCACTTGATCACGGGCGGATTTTGTCTCATCGACTAGATGTATATATCAAGCTCATGGGAATGAAGCTTTCACGACAGCATGGTCGTTGGTATATGAATAAGACACAAGTTGAAGGTTTAGAAGTTTTCAAGTCGATAAGCCCGCAGACTTCTGGAGACCCCGATATCGCCAACAATTCTCAAAGTATAGTTTTCTAAGAATCAATTTCGAACATTTGAGGTACCAAATACCAGACAATGGATTTCAAGCGTACACATCTTGTGGTGTATTGTACCGGTATTGGAATCGACACGCTATATGCTATATGTTGGTTAGTCAATTTGTACCTGCATTGCCAAGGCAATTGATCAATCAATCTATCTTCATTTGATTGATTGATGAGATCCTCTTTCAAGGCTTGAGAATTGAGATGTCTGTCAAATCGTCAATCAGGGGAAGGGGTCTTTATTCGAGAACAGTATTGACCGCTGTCTGTTGGCATTCCAATGCTCCACAAGCTTGAAGGAACTGCCCAGTGGTTATCGTACTGGAGAGGTAGTTGGTAGTTGCAGGCCCTTTCACCAGATCCTTGTTGTTTGATCTTGCCTTGCTGCTGCTGAATTTCCACTTCATCGCAGTTTCCTTCATCGCATATGCAAGCAGCACTCACTCTAGTAGCGGTTCCTCAAAGTGTTTTGTCGGAGGCGTCGTTGCGATATGTATTCCCTACACATCTTCCCATCTATCCTTTTCTTCACTCTTCACTTCCTTCCCTTTTCCCTCTTCCATTCACATATCTTCTCGATCAATGACAAACAAACACATGGGAGACATAAAACCTTGGAATTCCTACGTAGATGAAGCACGGCTGTATGGGGTGGTGGCTGGTGCTTGTCTAGGTACTTTATTTTGTGGGTAAAATTAATTCATGTGCCGCATTTCTTGCCATCCATAACCAATTAAAATTCTGGATAACTTCATGTTTCAAATTTCAATCTCGTATCCCCAAGTCAATTTATGTATAATGACGTCCATGTTGAAAAATATCAAAGATCGATCTATCTAGGCAGGCAAATGCATTCAGATTCATGCCGTCTTTTTCTCCTTCAATGCCTTGGAACTCCCTCCGTCGAAAAGCCATGACCTTTTCACGACCTTTTCGACCAATGGTGGTTTGGGAAGGGAAGAGTGATGAGGTTCAAATCCTTTCTTCCACCTTTAAATCCCGCAGCCGCAACCGATTTATAAGTTGTTTTTTTGTTGTTCCTGATTCTGTTGCTCTCGTTATTTGAAGATCTTTCCTACTTCATCTTCATCTTCATCTTCATCTTCTTGTCGTCGTTTGATCCTATTTATATGCATTTTCGCATTGTGTATAAATCTTTTTTCTCTTCGGATCTTGTTCGATTGAAGTTGTTGGCAAGGTGAATTATCCATAACCTCATCTGCCATTGGAAATCTATCAATTCTATTAAATCTTGAGACCTCCAGACCAGCAGTTACCACTCAAATAACGCACATTTGAACAACAGTCATGGTTACGACTCTCCCTCAAGTGCTTCTTGCACTTATTCCAGTGGCGTTAGCATTTCCAGCGCCACATCCAGTAGCTCAACCCGTTCCTCATCCTATGATCACTCCACGAGCCTCTTTGACCGATAGAACACCATCGCGAGTTCTTCTAGAAGAAAGAGGAGTGATTAGCTCGGTCGAATCATCCATCAAAGGTTTAGAAAGTTACATTACCAGTGTTCTCGGCACTTATCCTTCCTACATTGCTAGCGGGGTGCCCAACTTCTTCCAGGACTTTCCAACAGGAAGTGCGGTCCAAAGTAGTTTGGGAATTGGTGATAGTGACTTGGAAGCAACGCCTACACAAGTCTTGAATATCCCGTAAGTTCAATCTCTTCCTCACCCATTGTAGTTTGTTGCCAAAAGAAAAGACCACTCATTAATCATCAAACAGAGGGTATGCAAATTGGACTGATCAAGGCTGGAATCTTCGTGTCCACGGAAATGTCTTCAAACAACCAAATATTTCCGAATCCAAGCTGGACGATTTAGCAAATATCTTCCTGGTCGGCACCTCAATCGAAGATCTGCCCGCGGCCCAACAAACTCAAGCCCGAAACCTTACTGCCGAGATTTTTGTCGTACAACAAGCACATGTTAATGTTTCATTCAGCTTGGAGCCTGCTGCGTCTCAAGGTGGTGATGGCGAGAGTGGCGGTGGTGGAGCGGTAACTCCAGGTGGAGGAGCCCAAAATATTACACTTGTGGGACAAACAACAGTGGAGGGTGATTATGATCAATTTATCCAAATCGCCAACGTTTCAGGACCTGGTGGATATCTTGCTCCTGGTAACGACACAACCGACATTCAAAGAATCAACGTTTACACCGATGGTACACTGACCGGAAACGCAACATCCTACCTCGTCCCTGAGTCTGGCATTACCATTATCTCCGACATTGATGACATTCTGCGTGTTACAAAGATTTACGAGCCAGAGGAAGGTCTTCTTAACTCTTTTGCCAGACCATTCACTCAATGGATGAACATGCCCGATATTTACGCCAATTGGTCTCGCACGATCCCCAACTTCCACTTCCATTACTTAACCACTACCCCAGAGCAAGTTACAAGGAACTACATGCAATTCATCTACGAGACCTATCCAGGAGGATCTTTTGATACTCGACCCCTCAACTTCTCCGATGTATCTGCAACACTCTCTATCCGAAAGTATCTTCTCACCAAGATTTTTGAGACCTATCCCAATCGCAAATTTATTTTAATGGCCGACACTTCTAACTCTGATGTTATGAAGGATTATCCTGAGATGGCTACCGATTTCCCTGGTCAAGTCCAATGTATTTTCCTCCGCAATACATCTGCGACGGACAGCGGAGACAAATTCCCATACGAGACATCGGGTTTCCAAAATTTGAATCAGTCACAATACATGTTCTTCAAAGTACCAGATGATCTCACGAACCTTGATATCGTCAATGGACAATGTTACAACACTACTATTCCACAAAACGTCACATTCAGCCTACAAGGACTGCCTTTTGGATTGAGTAAGAGCGGTGCTGGAAAGAGTGTGACTATTGGTCGGAATTTGATTTGGGGAGTTATGATTGGAGCTTTCATGCTTGTCTTGTAAAACGACATGAGGTAGATGAGATAATGCATTGGATATGATTCGGCGTTCAGAGTGTTGGACTTTTACGGGAGTTATCAAGATTCACAAGATACCTGTTATAATGTATAGATGGTTCATTCTTGCTTGTTTGTACTTTCAGTGCTGCGAATCTTGTGAATCTTATGACCATGTTTGATGTGATGCTTATTGAGTTCTATGCACGACGATAAAACATTTTGATTTTGCATTTTTATATATCTTGCTGCGACATGTCACCGTTATCGTATGTACCATCTCAGGTCTCTATACAAAGATCCAGCCAAGTATTATGGACCCAGCTGTAAGTCATATTCTATGCACATGTAAATCCCTGCGTTCAAGGATAGAGCAAACCCCTTAACTCCCGACTAACCGTACCCAGCCATGCATTCGTTCTATTCATTATATATGGATCTCATTATGGATTCCAATTACTTCCCAGCCCTTTCCCTCCTAATTCCAAAGCAAGTAAAGCGAAGTGACCACCAACAGTGGGTCTGGCCCTCAACGCTTCTTCAATCCCTTCCTCCGTATTTCCATCAACTTTGACTGTCCATCTATCGCTAAAGGGCCAACTATTCTTCCCATTGCTGATGAATGCCCATAGATCATCAACGAACGATTGTCTCACCGCCCCTGTCGTTGTACCAGCAGTCCAAATATTCCAGTCGGATTTCGCCCATGCCTGACGAGAGTCAAGAGCTACTCCGCTATCTGACCGAATGGTTGGGTAGTAGTTCTCTTGCATGGTGTATGCCGCATCTGAAAAAGTTGATAAATCAAGCAAAACATCTGGGTACAGATTGAAGGGGATTTTCCAGGAATCGTCATTATCTGGGTAATTGAGTACGAAATGTGTTTGATCTGCGTCAGTTCCTAGTTTATCTGTGTAGATTTGGGTGGCATGCGCATCTCCAATGGTCGAATAATTTGCATAGGTTTCACCGGTTAGAGAAGCAAAAGCTTTCAAACCAACTGCTGCTTTGATTGCGAGGTTGGTTTCGTTCGCGAGAGGTCCGGCAGCATCGTTGGTAGAGAGTTGAAGAGTTATATTGAGGGAAGTTGATGGGAGATATGATGCGTACTTATTGAGCAGTGTGTAGTATTTATTTGCCCAAGCTGTATTATTACTCGCTTTCTGGTAAGCGAGAGCGAGTATGAGTAGATTGCCGGTTTCTTCTATTGGCATTACCTCTGCGACACCATCATCATGGCCGGTGGC